AATGTTTCATTCGACTAAGACAAAAACCTCCTCAAGGATGTTTTCAATGAATATATGAATCCAATAATCTAAGGTTGTACTTTAAAGAGCAAAAATTTTAAATTAATACTTAGAAACAGTGATAACGATAATTCTATTTCAATCACTCTTCAGTATAAAGCTTACTTCCAAAGTATATTCATGGTTATCATACTTCAGCACAGTGAAATTGATGGAGTACAACTGCTCACTACCCTCATGTTGTTCTCTTCTATACAGATAAATAAAATTATGGTGTATGCAATGAAATGGAATTCTTTGGGATTGGCGACCTGTTATACTATACTTCTTGTGGCTTCAGGAAGATTATGCTCCATTATATTCCTTTTTTGAGAACTCCTTAATACAACTTTCTATAGGATTGACATTGCTGTAATTGCTACAAGTGATAAATTTATTCAATGGTTGAAGAAATAAATTCAATGCAGGGATCAAAATTTGGTGACCTAGCTCTGCAGAACTCCTTCTCTACCTGGCTTTCTAGTTCCACTACTTTGTTAGCTTTCTGATTGTTGAATATTTAGCAGTTGATGTTTGAATACTGAGTCTCTGTTCTATATTTTAGATTTTGCTAAAATTTTTCCTGTTTAATGTATCCGTACTCATATTTGCTCTCAAGTGATAAAGAATAATTAATTTATGTATTCAATAATGGGATATTTTGACCTCCTAAATTAACAAAATTTCAGTTCATATGAAAAGTGATGGATTGGTGAACTTTTGTACTTATGGTAGGTTACTAAGCAATTTAATCTGAGTTTGAATGTCTTATACCAGGAAGTCTAGGACACTCTAGAACAAACGTTTTCTTTCTATTCTCTATCATCTCTCTCTCTCTCTCTCTCTCTCTCTCTCTCTCTCTCTCTCTCTCTATCTATCCATCTGCCATATTCCTTTACCCTGATCCAAATTTAGTAACAATACAAACAAGGTATCACAACAAATGTCTAGAAAGTTAAGTTAAACCTAGAGAAAGCTCAAAATATATGTTTTCTATATAAAAGTTTCCACATGGAATAATCAAATTTTCTTATATGTTTCTGTTAATTTGGCTCAATATGTTTTTCTCAAAAAATAATTAATTTTAATGATGCCCCAGTGAAGTGGTAAATTGAGTGAACACACTTTGAATAATAAAAAAAATCTATAAGGAGCAACTTTTTGGTAAATCATTACCTAAAATGAAAAATATCATAAGCCCTAATTAAATCAGAGCTCACAGGTAATTTATTGTTTACTTTGAATAGGATTCAAATTATATGTAAGTGGGTAATATTTAAGACATATGATAAAGCACTTTGAGTATACAGTCTCCCATTTATGTTGTTGTTATTGATGTAGACTAAAAAATAATAGAGTCATTTTAAAAGATGAAAAGGGAGCAGCCATGCAATAAAAGAAATACGACATATTGGGAATAGAAACATTTCTGGATTTTCATAAAACCCTCTCAGATGCTAGCTTTTCTCTCTTTAGGCCTACTCTTTGCCTTATTTTAATTTACTTTATTAAATAAGGATTTAAATGTGAGATTTGGGCTTATCAGTTAGTTTTTCAACCTTAATATTTTTCCTGGAATTATAAATATCTCAGGTTTAAAAAATCAAGAGCAGTATCATGTATGGTCTCTAGAGCCAGACTCCCTGGGTTCAAATCCCTAAATCTTCCACTTACAAACTTGTAACCTTGGTAAACTAGGGCAAGTCACTATGCCCTCTGTCTCATCAAAATCATCCTTGATTGAGAACCACTACTCAACATTTCTTGCTGATCAATCTTTCTAAAGAACAGTTCAGATTATATCATTCCCTGATGGAAAACTCAGTGGCTTCCCATATTATG